AGAGAGAGAGAGAGAGAGAGAAAGAGAGAGAGAGAGAGAGAGAGAGAGAGAGAGAGAAGAGAGAAGAGAGAAGAGAGAAGAGAGAAGAGAGAAGAGAGAGAAGAGATATCTTGCCAGTCTTCCGTTCAACTTCAAGACCTGGAGCAAGGAGAGCCTTTTGAGAGCCGAGCCTAGCCTGTCGGGGCGGCTGCCAGGGGCTGGGGGGCTGGAGGTGTGGAGGATGGCGCCCTCATTTGCCTTTCACTCACTCGTCACTTTCTTCCTTCTTAACCCTCACTCAGGGGGATGGGAGCGATGGGGACTGAGGACGCGGTCGCCGCGCTGATGGTGGGATCGCAACAGCTGCTCTGAGGAGCTGGACGTGCAGGGCGGGCTGGTTGGCAAAGTGGGAGTTGTCTGAGTCCGTGACCCGGTCGTTCTCGCAGCAGCTTTGGCAAGGCTATGGTGTTATCCTTGTTCAGAATACACTAGTGCCAGGCAGGCTGACTGAGTGGGCCAGCACTAGGCCTTCCTTCACCTCCCCTGCTCTGTCTGAGTCCCTGCTTCGGCTCCCACTCTCATTCCGAGGGTCGGGCTGTCTCCGTGGAGTGTTTTCCACAAACCTGGGGAAAAGGGGTGCAGGACGCCAAGTGTGTTTCTTTAAGAAATAAGACTTTCATCATGAAACACCTTGGTTTCTTCTTCCTCTGGAGGGGTTGCATCTCTCCTTATGTAGGGGAAGAAAAGGAAGAGAACTGTCATTTATAAAGGCCCTGGTGTGCCAGGCTCTTTGTCCTATACTTTCTCTAATTTCAGCAAGAGTCCTGTCAGCTTCCTATTCCTCATTACAGCTGGGAAAATGGAGACCCAGTGAATTTGAGTGACTGTACAGCTTGAAAATGCCATGTTTTGACAGGAACCCAGTCAGAACGCCTGTAGAAACCCTACTGTTCCTATTATGTCCCACAAAAGGGCTAGGAATGGGGAAGGGGGACATGTTGCATTTTTTTTTTTTTTCTGCAAAAGCATCAGGAGATAGGGAGTGAGATACTTCAGTACAGTAGAATGCCAGCTGTCATAATAACAGTGTGGCTAATAAGAAGCTTAGGCCTGTAAGTAGATAGCCTAGACTTTTTCTGGGCTTTAAAGAACCCCCACCGAATCCTCAGAGTAGGACCAAGTTGGGATCAAGGCCTTTCATCCCCAATGAAATTAGACCGCTCCCAGTGGAACCACCTCAGAAGCCATGACTTCTGCCCTCGCCAGTGGTAACCAGGAGTTTCTACTCCAACCAGCTGGGATGGGGTCAGCAGAAGCCTAAAGAGAAACCTAAACTCTCACCCCTAACCAGCAGTAACAAAGAGCCCCTCCTTAACCTGGATGTCAAGAGACCCAGTGGAGAAACCAGGCTTCTGCTGCCCCCCTTCCATCCAAGAGAGTGTCAGAGGAGGCCTGCTAGAACAAAAGATTTAAATAAGATCCAGAGTATCCAACTTTTAATCAAAATTCACACACCATACCAATATATCAGCTTGACTGAGAATGAAACAGATGCCAATACTGAGATGACACAGATTTTAGAATTATCTCACAAGAATTTTAAAATACCCTCCACAACAATGTTTCAATGAGCAATTACAACACAGGAGAAACAAATGATGAAATAGAAAATCTCAGCCAAAATATAGAAAGTCTCAACAAAGAAATAGAAAACATAAAGAAGACCCAAACAGAATTTTTAGAACCAAAAAAATATGTAATAGCCAAAAAAAACCCCTAAAACTCAATGACAGGCTCAATAGCAAGGTGAAGAAGACAGAGAGAAAAACCAGAGAGCTAAAATTTAAAACAACAGAAATCACTGTGGGACTACAGTAAAAGCTTTAATATTCATCCCAACAGATTCCCAGAAGGAGAGAAGAAAGACAGCAGGACTGAAAAAGTACTTGAAGAAATAATGACTAAAACCTTCCCAAATTGAACAAAAGATATAAACCTCCAGATTCCAGAAGCTGAGCGAACACCAATACGAGAAATCCAAAGAAATACACATGAAGACACATCAGAGTCAACCTTCTAAAAACAAAAGGCAAAAAATAAATAAACAAATAAATAAAAACCTTGAAAGCAGTTAAAGAGGAATGACAGATTACCTACAAGAGAAAAAATTAGAATGGCAACTGATTTCTCACCAGAAACTGAGAAGGCCCTAGGAGGAAGTGGCACAACATTTTTCAAGTGTTGAAGGAAAAGAGCTGTCAAATCAGAACCCTATGTCCAGTGATAATATCCTTCAGGATTGAAGGGGTAATCAAGATGTTCTCAGATGGAGGAAAACAAAAAACTTATCAGCAGGAGATCAACCATAAAAGAAATGACTAAAATAAATTCTTAAAACAGAAAAGAAACAATAAAAGAAGGAACCTTAAAATAAGGAACACAGTAAGCAAAAACATGGATAAATATGATAGACTTTTCTTTTCCTCTTGAAATTTCTTAATTACATCTGTGATTGAAGCAAAATTTATAAAACTATCAAATGTGCTCTCAACGTATGTAGGTGAAATATTTAAGACATTTATATTATAAACAGGAGAGTGTAAAGGGATGTAAAAGGGAGGGAAGGCTTCTATACTTCACTCAAGCTGGCAAAAAGATGATGTTAAAAGAGTATGATAAATTATGCATATATAATGTAGTAGTGAGAGAAAATACTAAAAAAGCTATACAAAGGGATGAGGATGTTATTATAAGACATTATAAATAAATCAAAATTGAATTCTAAACAGTGTTCATGTCACCCACTGGAAGGCAGAGCAAAGAAAATGGAGAAACTAAAAATAGATAAACAGAAAACAAAAAATGAAAAGGCAGCTTTAGCCTTCACATATCAATACTTATGTTAATATAAATGGCCTAAATACAACAATTAAAAGAGAGGTTGTCAGAGTGGATTTAAAACATATAACCCAACAATATGCTGTGTACAAGAAACTCAGTTCGGATATAATGATGTAGGATAGGTTGAGAGTAAAAGAATAGGAACAGATACCATGCAAACATTAATCAAAAGAAAGCAGGAGCAGCAATCTTAATATCAAATAAACAGATTTCAGAGTAAAGAAGGTCCCCAGGGACAGAGAGGGGACCTTCTTTACATAATGAAAAAGGGTCAGTCTACCCAGACAATTTCAAATATGTATGTTCCAAAAGCAACTTAAATTAAACTGTTTTTGACAATTTTACAGTAATATGAAAAGGTTAAACCACTTGGTTTAAGAATTTAAAATGGAGAAAGTACTACAAATACATACTTCATGTTCATATATGGACAGGTAAATACATATAAGAGATAGAAGGAAGGAGCTAGGGAAAGAGTCAGAAGGAACTGGAGAAAGGAACTGACTAGCATTTGTAGAGTGCCTACTAATTTAAGAGCTCTTGGATCCTTTAATCTTTAATCTTCCTGATGGAAATCTGTAGTAGGAATTCCTTTTTTTTTGGCCACTGGCCAGTACAAGGAGCTGAACCCGTGACCTTGGTATTATAAGGCTGTGCTCTGAGCCAATTTAGCTAATGTACCAGCTGTGTAGTAGGAATTATAATCCCCATTTTACAGATAAGGACATGAGACTCAGAGAGGTTAGGCAATTTATCCATGGTTACACAGCTACCAAAGAAAGAAAGAATATATCCTCTAGCCACATGGTATGTGAATTTCAATGCCATTAATTGCCCTTACAAATGCTAATAATCTGATTAACCATTATTCACAGTTCTTCAAGTGCTCTAATCCTAAATCTCTTGAATTATAAACAGAGCAGCCTATTTCTGTTAAAAAGTTAATATTCTCTGGGCTGAAGCAGCAATGATGATGGCGTTATCACCTAACAACCTAAGGAAGTCAAGCTGAGAGCTGCACCCACACCCAGACACAGATGCAGAAATATAAGGGCACTTCAAAAAGTTTGTGGAAAAATAGAATTAAAAGGTAATACTAATCTTTCCATGAACGTTTTGAAGTACCCTCATATAAACATTCATAACCTGGCACTTACACACACCAATGGCAAAATTTGCAGTGGGAAAAGCCTCAGGCATGGATTCTCACACTCCTGATTCTGACCACATGCCCAGCCCTGTCTTTCCTCCCAACCCCAACCACACTCCAACACTATGCTCTAGACATCAGCCCCCAGATCCCACACTGGTGCATTTTGCCCATGTATTCTTTGGGCTTTTAAGTGGTGGTGAGTGGAAAAGGAGAGACAGTAATGGAACAAAAGAAGGGAGATAGAAAAGTAGAAAAAAGAGAACAGTAATGAGGCAGAGAAAGTGACTGCAGCTACTATTACATGAACCAGAGCCCTTCACCAGCTCTCCAAGTGCGCACCAATAGTTTCTGAACATGCATATGCAATCCACACATGCATGTTGCACACACTGATGCCTCCATGCATGCATATCCATACACAACGAGCTTCCTTCACTTGGAAAAAGAAAAACTCATGTTGGAAGTAGATGTTGTGGTGTTCCTTAGCTCCTCTTAAATGTGTCTGTCCTAGGTTCTTCATCTCTT